TTTTATACTTTTTATACTTTTTATACTTTTTATACTTTTTATACTTTTTATACTTTTTATACTTTTTATACTTTTTATACTTTTTATACTTTTTAATATATTTAAATTATTTATTTATTTTATTTTGCCATTGTACCTACGCGCCAACGGTTAGATCCAAACAGGGAAGCTCTGCCTGCTGATGCCTGCAGAGGGATGAACTGGCCCCGTTTAGCACGAGCATTTAAGGCCTGATCCTCATAGCCCTGCTCTAAATCTAACGGAGGGTAAATCTCATTTGAGTGGAGTTTTCTTCCCATCTGACACCTGTTAGGTGTCCTATTAATAGAGCTCCACCAGCAGCTCTTATGTAACCACTGAGCTAGTGACATATATATATATTTTTTCTTCCATTTACTCCACATTTACTCCAGCTGGGTTTGTTTTACTAACTCACAATTCCCTTTCTGTGTTTCTGGAGTATTTCTTCCCACAGCTCCGTACATAACATGTCCTCTGCCTTTTATTTGTTCTTTTTTTTTTTAAAAAAAGCAGTAATTATTGTGAAAACACAAACTGCTTATTGCTCTGGAAATCCACGTGTTCCCCAGCTCCCTCTCTGTGCAGCTTACTCTTGCACACGTGAAGCTGTTATTTCAAGTTATTTCAAGTACTTCTAGGGTATCTTTTCACTCTCAGGCAAAAAGCCCATGAAATGCTAGTGTTGTATACTTATTTAGTTCCCCTCCTTGCTCCTCCCTCTGCCTCAGGTTTGTTAGGTGACTGCGGAGAAACTTCTCACTCCTGTCAGCTTCTTTGCACCTAAAAATTGAAATTACTTGGGGCAGTGGTTAGAAAGGAAAACAAACTGCTTGCAGTTGATGCCAACTTTGTGGGCTCCGTTTGCTTTCTCAGTGGGCCTCATTTCTTCTGAGGCCATGTCAACAGGGATATTTTTAAGCAATAACGGCCAGGAAGTCTCAGTGATAGCTTAACAGCTTAAAATAATAAATATTTTGTATTTTTGCTATTTTATGAAGTATGATTCTAAACACATGTACATAAGGGAGATATTTTTGGCTGTTTGTAAACTTCAGGTCAAAACTAACAAGTAGAGGCGATGCCTGCTTTGTTCCTGCCCTCTCGGGATAGCTCCACGTCCACATTTAAAATGAATCATCATGATTTTTTTTTTTCCTACCTTTTTCATCAAACTCTTGGGATTAGTGACTAGGAACAGTCTGGAGATCAGGCAATATCTTCCCTTCTCACATGCTCAGCATTATGTTCTTGTCTTGAGCTCTAATCTTGCCAGAATAATAGTCACAATAGTTTTCTGTGCAGGCAGGATCTGAATTGTTGATAGGAGTAAAATATGGAGCAAAAAATAAAAGGAAATATCTGGAACTCTTTTGTGCCACAGGGGGGAGTGAGCCTAATACCATTTGTGTAAAGGTCAGGATACGTGTGATATCTTAAATTTCCCAAATTCCTTTGTTTTTCCGTTCATATAAAACTAAAAAAATAACTTGAGGAAAGCTCTTAAACACAACATCCTGTAATGGACACGTTTCTGGCATAAATATTTCCTCTTGTGCTGAGCTTTCTCAATAAGGACTGTTCACTCACAAGGGCTTTCCTGTGGCTGCCCTGCTGTCCTTGCAATGTTTCATATTTTGTTTTATTCCCAGCTCTGGGGATATTATCCCATGAATTGTATCTTATTCCTGTTTTCCTGGCAAGTGACTATTGAACGCTCATTTATAGCAATGTTTCAAGCATTGGATTGCTACAAAAAGGTTGGAAAACCAAAGCCTTTGAGAGCAGAATCAAGAACTACACGTGCTGAGATGATGCCATCACCTCCTGCTTCTCCCCGTGTTTGTAGGGGGCTCTGGTTACGTGAGTTTCAAACAGGGTTTGTCTGGCCAGTATGAACGAGATGAAACTGTGAAGACCAGAGTCAAAGTCAATATTGACTTGTCCTGTCCTCGCGCCCAATTTGACTTCAGCCCTTGACTTATTTGTCCTTCAGAAGCCTTCCTGGGGATACCGAAACCTGCAATTCCATGTGTTGGGAAAGCTAGGTAGGAAAAATGCAGCAACGGGGGGTACAAGAAGGGCCTTTATCAATAACTGGGGGCACAGCTGACCTCAGCAAACTCAAGGAACGTGGTGTTTCCCACAAACTGCTCTGATGAGGCCACAGCACAGAGGATTTGTGAGCAGAAGACCCTGTGCCCCACTAATATGGCAAAGACAGTGAGGTGGCAGCTGCCATCCCTTCATCCTCCCTGATAGTAAGTGACCCCAGCCTGGCCACGTGGACACAAAGGTCTGGGTGCTTATGAGCACAGGGGTGTGAGTGGCCAGAGCCAACTTATTTTGAGATTTTTGTGAAATAAAATAATCCCTCCTGTCCCTCAGATCTCACAGGGAATTTTGTTAGGCTCGTTTTTTTGCATACTTCACTTTGCAAATTGCCCTCAACTGGGTATCGTGACCAAAATCAGTTCCAGGGGCTTATAAGGGAGGTGCCAGGATTGCTGTTCTGGCTTGAGCTCCAAAAATAATGGCATCTTCCTCTCCCCTTGGTCTGGAGGAGAGTTTGGAACCAAGCACCAAGCGGTTTTTAAAATCCTTTAGTGTATTCTTCAAATCCAGATTTGAGTTGTGTGTAAAATGGAAAGGATTCACAGCTGTATGTGAAAACACTTTTCTTGGGGAAATATAAAAATACAAAAGAGTTTTCTCCTGCAAAATACTTATTTTGCAGATATGGCTTATCAAAGCACATCCAGTATGGAGGCAAACAGCGTTCAGGGGCAATATATGAATTTTGAAAACGCTTGCAAGATGTGAGCTTAACTAGGACCAAAACTGAGAGTATTAAAGCCACTTGTAGGTTTGGATTGCGACCCGGGAGTCTGGTGTTTGGTTTGTATTTAATTCCAGCAGTCTGTTTTGGCAGCGTTTCCCTATTGTAGCCTGGCAGAACATGATCCTTGCTCTTATTCTGCTGCCAGCACTGGAAGCTTCAGCTGGAGTAGATCTTGGGTGCTGATTCGTTTCAGGTTACTCTGTGTTCGTGGTAACCTCTAATCTGTCAAACTGCGGTTATAAAAATCTCCACGACTTTGTGGAAGGAGCCAAACAGGAGCCTACAGAGCATTAGCTGTGATGAAAGCTACAGTCTGGGGGGTCTCAGCTCCAAGCTGAGACAGCAAACAATTCAAGAAACTTGTATTTGAAGCAGTCTGAACCAGGTAGAAAGGAGGGGAAGTATAATGCCAGCTTTGTAAGGACAGAGCACTCCAATGTTTAATGTTTCATAACGAAGACTTCGTGAAAAGATAGGGGAGCACCTTGGTGGCCCTCCTTAAAAGGGAGCATGTGGCCAACTGTGAAGTTTTGAATGTCAGGAGCTTATAGCTGAACTGCCCTCATGTTGGCATAATGCTGATTTTGTGTATTTGTAGAGATTGTTTCGCCGTGAAAAGCCCTTTGAGCTTTTGCCTGCATTTATTTTCTAATTCTCCAAGTCTCATAATCTTTGAAGAAATTTGCACTTGCTTCCTCACACTTTGAGGGTATTTTGGTAGAAAATAA